CAGTTATAGAATATTTATTTATTTTAAATGGCAGGCATTTTGATAGTTATCATTAGCCCTTCAGTTGACTTTGGGCTTCACAGAAGGGAGGAACATTAAAGTGAGAAAAATTCGACAGGGGAAAAGAAGAGCGATTCACATATGCAAAAGAGACAGACAGACACAAAGGCAGAGAAAAGGTTAGATGAGTACTGTGAAAGGGGTCGAATATGACATACAGTGGGGTCATGATAGTTTAAAGTCAGAGGTCAACTACCAGTTAATAGACTTTTTGCCGTATGAGTAAACGTTGCCCAGGGTGCACCACGTGGAGGCAACCCCCAGTTATAGAATATAAAAGTGTTATACTTGTAATGAAATTTACTCTTTCGCACTCAAGTGTCTTTTTTCCTTGTTGCATTTAATTAGAATTCTCTTAATGGAGACTACAATCACAGACTGACAAAGGGCCATATTCAGTTAGGTGTGATGTACGCAACCCAAGATCAGAACCAGGGTGAATTGCACATTTATATCAAGAGCGCTACAGATTTGAATGTCCCTCTGGGAGCCAATGAAGGTGGTGGTGATAGCAAAAATAGAGTCAATCCTTTTGTGAAAACGTGAGTTTTGAGCAATTTTATCATACTAAAATATCTTAATTGGTGCAATAATTTAACAATTTTGACAATTATTGATTTATTTATATCAAATGACAGGCGTTTTGATGGTTATCATTAACCCTTTAGTCGACTTCAGGCTTCACAGAGGGGAAAGAACATCAAAGTGAAAAAAGTCGAGAAGGGGGGAGGGTAGAACAGAAGAGTGCTTCAAAGGCGAAGGTAGAAAAGGTGAGGTGTGTACTGCGGAAGTAGTCAAATATGATATACAGTGGGGTGATGATAGTTTGAAGTGGGAAGTCAATTGACAGTTAATAGAATTTTGCCGTATGAGTATACGTTGCCCTGGGTGCCCCACATGGAGGTAAATCTATCGCACACCCCATTTTGACAATTATACGACAAGTTATATGCCATTCAATGTTACATAGCAATAACCTTGTAATGGCTTTTTGATGATTATAACAACTTCTCATGGTATAAATTTACATCGGAGGCTTTTGTAATCCAGCCATAAACTACTGCGTATTTCTATTTTATGTGAACTCTTTCTAGTGCCATTCTAATGATCGCCTCTTCGAATTCGCTATGATGCCTACGTAGAAGTGGAGGATCAAAGGGATTAGTAGAGATGGGACATACTAAGCTATCTCTTATCGAATATACCAACATTTTCATTTTATACATTTCATACTTGTAACAATTTTATTCATTTGCTCTCTGTTCCATGGATTTTGGATCTCAACTTTTAATGGAGCGAAAATAAATTAAAATAATATATGGAGCATACAAAAGCATACGACAAGGCCATTAGAATGATATCACTGTTAAATTAAAAATGAGTTACCAGTGCTTCAAAAGTAACCTTGACATGTCACCATAGCGATGCATGCGAGAATAGAATGATGAGAATGGATTGAGGTCTGAAAACGAGATTATAAACTGAGAATTTAAAGTTACTTCGAATTAATTTTTTTAGTCTGCGTTTTACATAAAATCTTGAATCTTCTGGTTATTATTTGTGGGTTCCAAACTATCATCTATTCTTCAATTTTCAGACTTTCTTAACCAATAGATTAACTGAGGTTAGTCACACATAATAGGTCAATATAGCTATTTGACTAGATTAAGCGGAAAGGGCATTCGTCCTAAAGGATGGCAATGATTTAATGTGCATTCATCAGGACGATGGAATCACGAGTTTTTTTTCGATGTTTTGGAACCACGAATTAAATTAAGCTCAATAATTGCGGTGATGCCCTTGGTTCCTAGATATTTACTTCCTGAGAGAGAGAAGAATTCTAAACGCAAAACGAAGATCATTAAAAAGAGCAATAATCCCACCTGGGAGGAAGTCTTGGTATACAAAGGAATTGTCAAAACTCAACTGCCTTCAATCGGTGTCGAGGTGGTAGTCTGGGATGCGCCTAAAATTGGTTACTATGAATACCTTGGGGGATGCAATCTTAACGCCGGATCACGTATGAACATTTTGATGCTAATTTACTTCAATGATTTATTTGTTTCTCAAATTCAATTACGCTCTAGTTTTTCTTTTTTCAATTAACATGTATCGATCAGTCTATTGGCTGCAAATGTTAACTTGTGATTTGTTCAATTTTCATCATGCCTGTTCAAGCATTGAATAATTTAAAGTTACTGAATTATTTATATGATCAAAATCTCATGAGACAGAAATAGGTTTTTTTCTACATTCTAGTTAGCTTTTTTATGCTGGCATTTATTAATTATGTACTTATTCTTACCAAAAATAGTTTTCAGTATTTCTCATCAGAAATAGTTTCGCTTAGTTAGTTACTAGCAAGTTGTCAGATGTTTTGTGAAATTGTGAACGCAATATTCGATCTGTTTAAGGATCTGGTTTCGGAATGGATGCTGCAGGTATCGAGCGCTCCTTATGGGTAGAAATGATGAGCAAACCCAACAAGATGATTGAAGGAAATGTTCCACTCCGATCAACGATGGATTAATTGCGGGAAGTGCACACAACTTAATAACTACACCAATGTGCCTTTGTCCTTCCCCCCCCCCCCACCCACCTTGACCTTGACTTCACTGTGTTTGTGTATACCACGCATTCTTTCATTCGTAACGCTCTTATCAAAGCTCCTACCTTCTCCCATTAAGAGAGCCAAAGTACTATGTGCTACTTAAATTGACGTCTTGTGCTAACACCGTTTATGTAGTTTTATATTTTCACTGTTAATGTCCTTCCTGATATTCATTAGTAAAGACCCTCTTAATCTTGTTTACTAATGTTACGCTATTATTGGCGCAAAATTGCAAAACAAATTATTACTCTAACTTTTTAATTTCCCTATTTCAGTTATTGTTTTGTAAGTTATGTCTGGGTTAGAACAAGGGACGCATTTATTTGGAAAGGCGTATTATTAAATCGAAATGCCAATCTTCCTAAGTAGGACAAATATCATCAAATGAAGGGGAAGGCAATTATAATTATTCAAAATAGTTTGCTCGGATTTGTGATAAAATATATTTAATTATTTATTTATATCAAATGGAAGGCGTCTTGATGGTTATCATTAGCCCTTTAGTTGACTTCAGACTTAACAGAGGGGAAGGAACATCAAATTGAAAAAAAATTCGAGAGGGGGGGGGGACAGAAGGGTGTTCCAAAGATGTAAGAGACAAACACAAAGGTCGAAAAAAGGTGGGGTTAGTATTGTGGAAGGGGTAGAATATGACATACAGTGGGGTCATGGTAGTTAGAAGTCAGAGTTAATAGATTTTTGCCGTATGAATATACGTTGCCCAGGGCGCACCACATGGAGGTAAGTCTATCGCACACCCCGTGATAAAACTAACTCCAATAACCATAAAAGAAGCCATGCAGAGCACGCAGTTTGTTTTACATTGCTAATACTACTAATAACAATAATGTGTGCTCTCATAATTTTTGTAATGGTAAAAGCCAAAAGAAAACACGATTAAAAGTAGACAACACAATTAATTAAAAGTCGTCCCGAGTTTACTAATCGTAGTATTAACACTACCTGAGCTGAGGAAATGTATTTTGAATCCAGTCTTACGAGGAACTGGCATTCATCAACCCTCTTACCGATCAATGTAGTTAATTACCCATATCACTGAAGCTCAAGCGATAGGTATTAACCTCGTAGCTCTCAACTTAGCAGACTTCCACGTTAACAACTGCATCACTGATAAGTGAATGACCGATAATCATATCTCTTTCCTTCACTTGAACTTTAAATTCATAAAATGATCTGCTTTTTACCCAATCAGCAAAGCGCACTATGTCATGTCCTAGTATTCAACAACTCAAACCTCAGAATATAATACCCCCCCCCTTCCTCTCATCCTCCCCCACTTTCTTGATCGGGTTCGTGGATGAAATATTTTGGTTCTTTGCTGACTAATTGTTGGATTTAATTGCTGGTCCTACCATTTCGATACACTTATTCTTCTGTATAACCGAAGACATTGCATTATCAATACAATAATAATAATTGGCTATTAGATCTTTAAAATGTTTAAATCTCTGTTAGAAGATCAACATAATGAGCTGTATATATAATATTGTTAGCTTTCTCTTATCTACCTGTTACTTGTACTTGCAATTAGAACAGGAAACTGGAAACTCACCAGAGTTGTCCCAGTTAACCAAATCGTTAGGTGTACAAATTTGAGTTTGTAAATTTAAAAAACACCTTACTAAATGAACTCTACTTCAAAACGGGAAAAAAATTTATCTTGCCAAAGAAAGAAATAATTAAACTTCAAATAAACATCTAGTTCGTCTCAAATAATTATCAAACATAATAAGCAATTAGAATAATCATTAGGCTTTCATGTTTTGGAATAATAAAACGTCCATTTTTTCTTGATCTTATAAACACCATTGCGTTATATTTTAATAGATATATAAATTCGGTAACGGTTGAGTAAACTGAATATTGAGAATTAGACAATTTGTTCAGACAAATGGCATGATTCATGTATATTATCTTCAATTTTAGACAGAGTTAGATTTCATACCAAAATTCCTAGGTCTACATGGGGGAGACGTTGACAATGGACTATATTTCATAAATTAAATCAGTGTTTTATTGCTGACTTAATTGCATATTCTTATTTATGCAAAGCCTCTATTTATAAAGCCCAATTAATTTCACGCCTTCTTCAATCAGTGTAAAAAATTGCCCAATCATCTCGTTGCTACAAAGTGTCATTCGTATGCATTGACATTAATTCACTTCTATGCCTTGCAAGAATTTATCCAATTATGTGTGTCGATGCGTGCATTTGTTATTGGCCGTTGTAGTGTTGCATTCACCATATTCGTCCTTATGCTTCTATACTTTTCGCATATCAGGTCTCTCTATATTATTCCAGTTAAAATTAAATTACTGTTGCTTCGACAAACAGTGGTATGATTTCTAAATTTCAGGGTATTGCGCTATGTCTAGTGAAGTCCTTTTGAGATAATTCACGATACTATAAACTGTCATCAACACGATTTGAACAATTCAGGTAATGATAAATAAATTCCTTTACTTAGATTTAGACATTTTTATCCCTTCCAAATTAGTAATACTAATTAGTATGTTAGCGGCATATATTTGTTATGTTTGATTTAATTACTAGTATGTTACAAATGACAGAATACTTTATTAGCAGCATAGCACAATTCTGATTATGTCTAAGTGGGACGCACCTGAGAGATATTAATCATATTTACCAAAACAGTGGAAAGTTGCTTTGCTGAGTCATAAAAATTGTGCTGTTTTGCTAGTTTGAATAAGAAAAATAATGTTTTTTCCTTCGTTTTAAACAATAAGGTATTCCAGACCATCTTATTAGCATTATTTACGTTTCAACTATTTTTTCCAAAATGTGTAGTCTTCTAACAAATATTCATTTTGTTGCCATCGCGGATCACCACCATTTCGGATCAATTTTTTTCATCTAATGCCAGAAATGTTATTTAGGATTTTCAGTTTAAACGAGGGGATTAAATTGCGGATTGAATTCACGCAACTGTATCGAATTACGCAAGATCAGTGTGCTTGCACGTGGTTGACTGAATTTTGAAATGTTCATCAAATTGAATTAAAGTTGAAGGAACATGAATCTTTTGCTTAGGTTCCAAAAAACAAAACAATAATAAATGCAAACCGGTTTTCTGATTGAAATTATTCCTGAACTTTAACTTCAACTATTTAATAAGGGTTATTTTTAAGTATTTTGAAGAAATCAGAATTAATCATTTTGTTACCATTTATTTAACACTCTAATTCTTATTGCATTTAATTCACTCTATAATTTTATTATTTGCGAAGTTCACCCTCACAGAAAAATAATGTCAAGAATTATGAATGAAACAGAACTGTGAGGGAAAGTTATCTCCTTAATTACATATTTTCCCACCTTCCAAGGGCAAACTTTTTAGCGTGAAATTAAAACAACGTACTAATGTCCGTCCTTAAGAATAACTCCACTCGATTTAATAAAAGTTAGTTCAAGATATATTTTTCTCTTTGATCCAACAAAGGTTGAGTAATAACGAGAAATAATTGGGAGAAAGTTTGAATACGTCGCAAATTTACCATTTAAATGAGTGAATTTATTGGAAAACTCGTATATTGCCATATAAGCCACTTTTCTGCGTCACCTTTTATAAATAAAATACCAGCAACTGCAAAGTCAATTTAATATTTTGTTAAATCCATCATTGCTTTAGCCCTCTTAAGTGAAATTAATTATGGCCCCTCTGTTGTCCGATTCAGAGTACGTCAGTTAAATTTAGCCCTCCGGACCGACCATAGCCTTATTCAACTATTTGCAAATGTTCAGGCTTAACAAAAATTTCCTCTACTCGGACTTACAACTCGCGTGCTTTTGATTAGAAAATGTTTGAACTTATTAAAGCCACTTCATTGGGGGGGGGGGGGGGT